ATCTTCTCATATGTACAATAGTTACAACTCCATGCAAAATTTTTCGAACATAACGAAAGATTTTGTATGGAGATGCAACTACATATTTGAAGATTAAATTGTTTCACGCACCAAGTTCTGCGTTATTAGACTCTTATAATGCCTGATTTATTATTTCCGGATTATCGTTTTTTAGATTGAAGCATCTTTATATAGTATATGTCAATTTTTAATTAAATTAACTTTCAATATCAGGAGCCTTCGATACAAGGCCACGTTTACTTTCTAAAGGGATAAAATTAAATTTTAAAAATTCAAAAAATTTCCCTGAGTACCAGTAAAATTCCATGAGAATTTATGATTTTCAAGGGCAAAAATGAAATTCCCTGAGAATTCCAGGTTTTCTCGGTTTTTCCCGGTAGTACCCATCCTGCAATCATATTAAAAAATCTTATATCAGTTGCAAAGGTGCTTTTTTTGCTTCAACACAGTCATTATAATATAGAGAACACACGTAATAGTATTAGCATTATCAAGAATCTACTTTAAGAGTATTAACGGGACGGAGACTTCCTTATGGAGGGTATGGAGCTTTCTACATCCAGAGATCCCGTGGGTGGAATTCCACACCCTGAATTCCGGGTATTTAAAAAAATTTTATTTAAATAATAAATGAGCTAGTTCTTGCGTGATATCAAGATAAAATTAAAAGAAAAAGTATGAAAAGAAATTAAATATAGAAGTAGACATATATTTCGACATACAACAGAAGAGATTAAATATTTGTGTTATTACACCCGCCTCCCCCCTCCCCACCGCTTAGATGAGGTACTCCACATCCAGAAAATTTAAATGTCTCCGTCCCTGAGTATTAATTTTTTTTTCTTTAATTATTGCGCCAATCTATACTAGTTCATTTTACTAATATCTCGAATTTATCGAGAGTCCATATAAATTACTCTTTCGTCTTTTGTGTTATACTCTCTAATAGCTTTTTTCTCTTTTCTCTTTTCAAATGTATCCACATCCGTAAATTTACAGCGTAAATTTACAGCGGAGGAACGGACGTAGCGCTATACGAAGACGCAGGTAGACGGGACGCTCCCGCTGGGATAAGGGTGTAAAAGCGCGCGGCTTTTGTCCGGCTTTTGTGCGGAATTTGCAGAGACCGCGTGGGTGAAACTCTCATTCTTCCCTTTGTCTCCTTTTTTTTCTTCTTTGTCACGGACGTCCGTCCCTTTTAAGACGGGATACTGCATGCGGGCGAAGTCGCTCGGCGAAGCCGAGCCGGACATTCCGGAAAAATGTTTTCTCGCTAACCGCTTACCTACCTATCCTCCCGTTTTTCCTGTCTCCTCTCTTTCTCTCTCTCTCTCTATTTCGCCGGACGTCCTTGCCGCAACGCGCGCGTTCGCGCCGTGGAAAGCCGTGAATGGTACCGCGGTAATGTTAACGCAAGATATACGGTTTATCGATATATATATATATATATATATATATATATATATATACATATGTGCGCTGAGACCGTTAATGCCCACAAGTAGGGCCTTTTGTTGATACACGACGACGACGACGATGATACACACGCACGTGTGTATCGAGTGGGCGTCGATAGCCGTCGTCGTCACGCGGCGTGACGCACGCGTGGACATTCGGTCTGGAACGGTTTCGGAATACTCGTTGACGTGTCAACGTGAGTAATCGCACATTAATACGCGCGCGGGAATTCGCTAACCGTATTAAACTCCAGGCGCCGCGCCGGGGCGAGCTGAAATGTTCTGGCGATCGAGAAAGTTCTAGGGGATGAGGTCGTATAATTTTGAAATAAGATTTGAATCACATTTTCGAAATTCGAGGCTTCGTTTTTTTTATGCTTGTTTAGTATCCTTCAGCAGCCCTCGCACTGTGAGATTAAAATTACCAAATCCTTGAATCTCGAAAAGTTTCATTTCGATGTATTTCAAACATCCCGAAAAGTCAAGGAGAGAACGCGTTAACTTGTTGCTGTCGTTAAGTCCGACGCGGCGTGATGCGTGGCTTATTTACGTGAAGCGATAATTTCGTATTATTTTTTAATTATATATATATATTTTTTTTTTGTATTATTTTTTTAATTATTATACGAGATAATTTCGTGTGATAATTAAATATAATTTCTGTGCGGAAAGTTTCTACAATGAGAGATGCACCGTAAACGGTACGCCGAAAAGGACCGTGCCAGTGAGCTTGTATATTGAGCCTCATACAAGGCTCGATAATTATTATTCGCTCGAACGACGGGCGAGCGGAGAAAGCGACGCGAAGACGACCGCGTCAAGCGCTCGGCTTGGCTCGCTCGCTTGCAACAACATTCCTTTGTTAGAAACCAATTCCTTAGCCAATAACGCCCGTCGGTGTCTGACTCATAACGCGATCTGAGCCGAGTGACTCAGGCACCGAGACCGCCAGCAATGTCCTGGACGGAGGACGCCGAGCCTGCAGCTCGGATGTTACGCGCTCGTGTCCTGCCAAGGGTTTGCTCGGAGCGGCCCGGTTTCTATATACCTATATACGATAACCCGAATCGGACGTGTGCAACCAGAATTTTCTGCCCACGACACGGGACGACGACGGGACGGCCCGCTTTCCGGGAAGGACACTCTCGGCTTCTACCTACGATTTATCTGCCTCCTGCGCTTGAAAAGAGAACAAAAAAAAAACTGTAGAGACTGCGACGTGAAATAAGATAGCGCTCGAAACGTGCGCAAGAATTTCTCGTTGCCTATATTTGTATCGCTGTTATAAACGGCTGAAACGACACCACACGAGAGAGATCGATAAAATATCATCTCGGACGAGACTCGATTCCCATAATTTTTAAAATGAAGACGCGTGGGACAAAAAGAGGGCAGATTTTCAGGGGAGTTTTGCGCGCATCCCGTTACATCCAAATATCCAGTTTAAAATACTAGCCAATCTATAATACTGAAAACTGAAACAATAGTGCTTTTAATACTCAAAATAAGTAAAAACTTGAGTCCCAGAATACGAATTTTCGTATAGCTAGATCGCATGCGAGCTAATAAATTACTAAAAATGCACCGTACACAGAATGCAGAATTTCTAATACTAGACCACGTGCGATCTAACGCGAAAAATTGCACATTGTATCTCGAGCCTTGTTAATCACTGTACCTTCCAGTATTAAATTTCCGCAAGGAGCCGGCACGGTAGTACGAGCCACCTCGCGTAAAGAAAGCCGAGACGTGACGTCGGGGACGCATGGCACCTGCACGCCTCTTTTGCCGTTCTCCCCTCGGCAACGGCAAATATTTCCGGCTCACCTTGCGACCGAGAACGCGCGCGGCGATCGCGCGTTCGCTCGGGAGCGAACGGTGCACCGCGCAGCTGGCCCGCCCGGCTTTAGGAACAGATTTTTTTTGTTGTCCCCCCCGACACGTCTCCCGCAATCAGTACGAGGCGTTATCGCGTCTGCCGATCCAACGAGACAGCGGCGAACCGTGCCTCGCTCTCCGACTACTAATATTTTTTTTCCTTCTTCGGAAACTCGCCGAGAGTTATCGTGTACTTCGAACAACTGAAAAGCGACGTTACGTTTTTTTTTTCGGTAAAAAATATCACTTTATTCGAGTTTTCGTCGAAGATTTGCCGTTGACTATCAAACAAAATGAACGATTAGCGCTCGGCGTAAATGCTACAGCGAACGGTATTCGCGGGGGGAATACCGTCGAGGTTGATCGATCGAGCTTCGAAATCGTATAATATCGTCATATTGTACATACGTAATGTAATACAATACAAATTCTTGTAATTTCCTATCGTTCCTTATCCTTAAACCACAAAGCATTTTGTTCTGTACATTAACGTTCCGCGAAGAAAAAAAGCGATATCTTATAGCTGTATATCTGTACACTTAGGATATTTAGATTCCGCGTCAAGCTACACTATAACAATTATTTTCATATTCGTTTAGAAGATTGTATGTATAATTATAATCCTTCGCGTACTCTAATTGCAGTAACACAGCAAGGTTTTCGCTACTTGTACCCGTTATTACGTGTTACATAATTGTTACGTAGAGTATACTTAAAATATACACCTAGAGATATATTATATATATATATATGTAAATATGGAAAAACTTGTATAAATTTCTAAATTTTTTTTTGAACGTGATACGAATAGTTATGTCGCGTCACTATATATAGATATAGATACAATTGTAAGAAAATTTCTCCTGCAATGATACTACAATATACAGATTGAAAATTAGCTAGTCTTACGAAACTGAATAAGTAGTAATTATTGTTCAATTAAAAAATATATATATATATCTAATGTTTTATAACATTAATTAAAAAGTAACGGCTGCTGCAGTGTCCGATATAATCGACTTTTGCACTTAGAACTTCTTCTTATGATTAAAGCTTGTGCACATAATTTATCAAAATTTATATCATCTTTGTATGCATTGGGTGTGTATCATAATTTATTTATAAATGCCTAACTAAAAATTATTTTAGTTCTCAGGTATGCGCTCTCCACATACTATCGATTAAGCAAATGTCATTAATTATTACGTTCATAATTCGGAGGTTTTTTGCGTTGAATAATTTAGTACATAATTATACTCAAATAGTCGAAGCATTTTAAAAAATTGGGATTTTTTAAAAATAATAGTATAAATATGATCGGTTCGGTATAATCCAATTGATTTATAAATAAAATCTTTAACACGTAGACATACATATCATTTTAAGGGATTCTATAAGTTTACTATTTATAGTATGTCTGCAAAAAAATATTTAACATTCATGTTCCATGTAAAAATTATTCGAAGAGTTTATTGGTGTATTAAAATAAAAATATCTTTTTCTTTCAAGTATATTTCAATATTCATCTATATCTAGTAATAAATACTAATGTATAGATGTGTGTTTCTAATATAAATGTACAATTAAATTGATAAAAGTTGATAAAAAATAAATACACGAAGAAAAATAAAGAAATTCGTGTTGTATATTTATAAAAGTCATCTTTTTATCCAAATACAATATATACACATACATATGTACTACATTTGCAAACATAGCTATAGATAGTAAGAACATAAAAAAATCTTGGTACTTCTTTTTCCTAATATATTTATACAGCATCGAGACTCACCATAGCAAATTTTTGTCGTTTCGAGATGTTATAATCGAAACTTGTTGGAAGATCTTATAAATACATTTTTTTGAGGAATTTAATAAAGTAAATATACATTAAAAAATGCATTAGCGATACAGGCGCGCAAAATTTCGTAGAGCATTTGTGACGGTTTTCGGTGTATCTGACCTAGATATCGTAAAAAAAAAGAATTAAGTCATTATCAATTAAGTTCCGTGAGTTGATCGAAAAATTCATAGCAATCTCCGATAGATAAGTGATTAAGTCAATCGTTCACAATTTATACAATTAACAAATAATATATAATACATATAATCGATATAAACATTGTCTGATTTCATAAAAATCGCTATGAATTTTTCCGATATTATTTATATTTACACGTGAAGTTGTATGCTACCGTACCTCGTGACTGTATTATGAAATTCAAGTAACTGATCGGGCGTTGCTGTGGGAGCTCCGCCTGCGTTTTGCGACGGCATTGTCTTGATAGCTTCTTCCAACCACTTTGACATAAGCTGATAGAAAATATAAGATTATATAGATATTACTTTTTTTCCCTATAAAATGTGATATGTATACAGGATAGAAATTATAATGAGATAATACGTACGTCTGCGTCACTTCGGGTAAGTTCTATAATGACATCCGTCACGTCAGACAGCATGTAAGAAGACAAGTCAAACACCGAAGCGTGCAGTAATTTTATAACTAATGTTTGGCCTTTTTCTTTCAATATACTTTGTACCAATTGTCGCCGTATCGTGAAGTCTGATCGATCCTGAAAAAACGAAGGACAGACTATATGGTTGGAGCTATATGAATTATACATGTATATATCGAGGGATTTTATTTTAATATTCATTTAAAAAGTTCACAAAGAATTACCTTATAACTGCGACCGCTGTGTAAAAGGTCATAAAAGAATTTCATTACTGAGCTATTAGCATCCCGATGATCCAAACTGCAAGCCATTATAGCGCAATCTACAACGCTCCCGATAGCAGGACAATGTAATAAGGGAATAGGGGCTCTTTGAAGAAACCTTTTATACAAAAAGAACGGAACGTCAGGCAAAATTTCAATAAAAAAAAACGTCAATCAATTAATTAGTATCATCGCAATACCTGGCGCACAGCCTGAACAGATCGTCCACCGTATCGGGGTGATTTTTTAAACCATCTTCTTGCTCAAGAAGGGCGAAAGTCGGACAGATGAAAGCTTGTAACATATTTAACAGATTCCACACACAGTCCGAATCGGTTGCGTACTCGTCCACTAATATGGAACCAAGATACAAGAAACAACTATGTTTATGTACCGTGTACAATGGTACGATCTGTGCAAACGAAAAAAAAAGAAGTTAGATATATTTAATAAGTTATCAATACCATATCGTATTTAATAAATTATTTGAACTATTAAAAACGATATAATCGAGATGCTAGATATCGTCGGAAGTCATTACTTGTTTCACAATTGGCTCGAGCAAATGAGCAGAATTTTTGCCCACGCAGCGCACGGCGAAACGTATGCAACGGCAGCATCTCTCCATGACTCTCACATCGCGTTGATATGTTTCACATACATTCGATAATACAGGCCACATCTACAAATAAATATGCATATAATGAATGTCATTAGTGTAAAAGGAATTTCACACGAAAGGCTTCTCGTGTCTAAGTATAAAGCTTACTTCAGTGACCACGCTCTGACAGGGATGAGGCTTATTAGGATCATCGATTTGAGGATTAGTATGTTTAAATATAGCGGCTAATCTATCCAGCCATATCACAGGATCAGTCTTTGTTCCTCTCTCGATTTGGACTCTATCCGTCAGAAGCGTCCACAGGGAACTCGCTTGAAAGCAGCACAATTCTCTTATTGCCGGAGTAATATCCTCGTACGATAACCTCGCCAAAATTATCGATACTCCTGTTATGACACAAAACACGCACACAATCAATGCTTTTCATGTAATTTTTTTAATCATAAAAATGATAAACGGACGCATAAGATTATGTATGTAATTCGTAATCGCGTAAATAATGTAGCAAAAAAAATTTATCCAACCTTTTAGTAGGCCAATAGCTGCGTCATTACTAATTGCAAAATTATCCAGAGAACGTGCTATTTGTAAAAGTCCAGAGAAATGCGCTTTCATGTGCAACGGACAAGCTGTACATATACTTAATAACGCGCCCGAGGCGGCGCTTCCTAAACCCTTTTGATTTAAACAGTCTAAGAGGAAATTTAAAACTGGTTCTGAAATGACAAAGAGCAAAGACATTTGAGTGTGCCGTTGAAATATCCAAATTGATGACGAATGTTTATCAAACCGACAAAACCTTACCTAATGATTGCGGATGCCTATCTATCCACTCACATAGCTCGCCTAGAAGGAGAATACTGGTATAACGTACGGCTATGTGAGTGTTTTCCGGCAAATTGAGAATGGCTTCCACCACTTTTGGAACCACATCGTTTTCTTCTCTGTTACACGTGAAAATTCGTTGTTGTACTCGGACCTCTTTAGATACTTTTGTTTCATTACGTAAAGAATGGACGTACGGTAAAATATTTTTCGCCACCGCCTGCATTATAAAAAGCGCGGCTTCGGTCGAGTCCCAGGTAGGTGCATGTACAGGTTGACCCTGCGGCCCAGGTCCTCCGGTCAGCGACGAAAACATTTGTCGGAAACAGTGGCTACTCCCAACTACGAACACTACGTCCTTTATCAAATCCGACACGCGATTTCGGAAGTCAGCGAACTCCTCGCCTCCCCCTCCTTCTTCCACGAGACCCAACTGGAAATTAAATACGTGTATTTTAGTAATCATCTATTCTGTTTTGTCTGCAAGACGTTATTTAAAATTCCTGATAGCGAATATACTGACATGGTCTGGTTCCATTTGACAATGTCTACAGAGAGCGCCGATCAGTCTCTCAATGTGAGGTCGGAACACGGCATTAAGATCATCGTTATTTTTCTGGTAAAGAATTTCCGATAACCGATACCACAGGTTAAAAGTTATCTGTGCAACCTTAGGGAAAGATATTATTTAATGAGTTAAGAATAATACTAATTCGTAATTTTTAATATAATGAAATAAATCGAACGTATATATTTTAAAGAACCTCATAATCATGATGACCGACGCACGTGAGGACGAGGTCCAAAATTTTTATGGCGTAATGCTGCTTTCCGTCTTCGCTACCTGTCACCATAGTTTCTAAAAATGTCTCGGCCAGTTCCGTGAATATTCGACAATAATTTATAGATCTGCAATGTGTATTCAATGACTAGTTTTATGCTTACAAACATACTTGAGGTATAACTAGATAATTTACTTTTCCATGTCTTCGTGCGCAACCGATAAGTGATATGGTTGTTCTAAATTCATTACACTTGTGAAGAGGCACAATTGCAGTTGCTGCAACTGCACGCTCGTTTCGTTGTCACTACCGCGACTGGTATTGCTATCTTCTCCTAATGCTTGCAAAATTACGCAGATGCAGTCGGTAGCCGTTTCGTGAAGTTGCGAAACAGCCATGTGATTGCTGAGTACCTGAAAAGTAAAATCATTCGATGAAGACGGATAAAGAGAGAGCAATTAATTTTTCCGAAAACATTTCATTTCAAGAGAGACTCACCTGCAAGGCATAAACGACTACCTCGCTCGAGGGAACAGCTTTAAGCGGTATTGCATGAACGGTTATCCAGCTGGTAAAACATCGCAAAATAGTGACTTGGATTTGTAAATTATCACCGCTATTTTTTAGGCACATTTTCTGCAATTATACTATATATGAAATACCAATGTTAAAGTAGAATGCATGTGTGTAAATGTAATTTCGTATACATAAAAATATATACAATTAGTATATATAATACATACAATGTATATAAAAGGAACTTATGGGATAACAAGAATGACAATATTGTTACAGTTGATTTAGAGCGATAATTTGTAAAAGATTGCTTTTGTTTAAATCTCCTGCAACTGGAGATATTTCAACCTATCTTGATCTACCTTAAAATTATACAATATATAGCATTATCTTTTACGTATATTGTATATTATATAATATTAAGGTAGTATATTGTACGTATATTGTATAATTTTAAGGTAGAATTACGATAGGTTGAAATATTTTCCATTTACAGAAAATATATTCATATAATATGAATATATTATATTATCTATATTATATCTATACTATCCATAAAGGAAAAAAACTGGATTAAAAAGATATGAAAGCACCAGCCAGATATATAATATAAATTCAATACAGATTGTTGTATCCATATAGGTATAATACTATGATACTATATCGATACAATAATCTGTAATAAATCTATATATATCTGTATGATATCTTCATATTTTTTAATCCAATTTTTCCTTTAACCTCAACTTCCTATTGAGAATAAATACGAGAGATCTCTAAATCTACAATCTTTGATCTCTTAACAAGATATATATATATATATATAAAAGACTGGGATCGAACTCGTGACCCGGTGACTACTAGTCGGTCACACTCACAACAAACCATGTTGTCATCTCAAAGTAGTTGGAGAATTGAAGGATGTGAATATAAAGAATCATGAGATGAATTATAATCTGTTACAGAAATAATAAACTGATACGATATCGGGTTTATCATCATTGGGTAGTAACTAGTAAAAAAAATATTAAAATAAAGTTAATGACTTGTAATCTTAGTTATTTTCAAATAAGTGAACTTTTAATTTCAATTAGTTTAAATATATTAACTTTATAATAAACTTTTTTAAATTAAAATTTTTGTCTCTTTAAAAACGCCAATGTTTGTTTCTTCTACGAAATTTTGAAATCTAAATAATCTGCTTCCGTGTCCATCGCGATTGTCGTTATGATTATGTGACTTTGTTACTTTGAATAAGAAATAAAGATTTTACTAGCAATTGCGATAATTTAAAAAGAAAATTAAAGAAACTAAAAAAATTTTTAAAAATGGTATTTCTATTAAAATTCTATTAAAAGTATTTGTAACATTCTACATTATACATAATTAACATTATTTTTATATTATTAAAAATAATTTTAAATAAAAAAATATATACTTTCTTTCAGAAAACTATACAATTTCATTTCATATAAGCTTATTTACAGATCAAATAAGCTTATTTGAAGCTCCATAATTATTTATAATTTTAATCGTTCGAAATAAATTATCAAAATTATAATTACAATTATTTTAATTAAATATTTTTAAAAATTGACTTTTAATTTAAGCTAATTTAACTTTAATTTAATTCAGTTTTTTGTTCAATTTATGTAACGTAATTAAGTTAATTTTATATATATCATTAACTTTAAATTAAGGAAAAAACTAATTTAACCAACCATGGATATTATACATACCAAAAACTCTGTGACGGTATCTGCATTCAAATTAAGTTCATGCAATATATGCTGTCTATGATTAGCTCCCAGCCTGTGCAAAAATAAAATAAATTAAAAAAAAAAGTTGTTTCAATTCACTTTGCGACATCAAATAAGCAACAAACTGTGACACCTTACCTAAGTGATCTCGAATTTACTTCTTCTGGAAGTACCGTCATTATTTCAAGTAGTGGCCAAAGGTTTGCAGTGTTTCCTCCAAACCTATTAATTAAATCTACCACAGGTTTCTGCCAGGAGGACATTTGTAAGGCCAGATCTGCTAGAGCTAAGCATAACTGTAAGCGTGAAAGTTTAACGCCATTAATAAGAATCTTATAATAAATTATAGAACAAATGTAGAATTACGTGGAATAAAAATCTTTTAAACTGCTGTGGAAGCAGTTTCACGAAAGAAATTTTATATCCATATAAATACCTGAGTAACAATGGCAGAGTTAGTGTGTTCATTGATTTGCGATATATGTTCCATTAACGAATCTCGTAATGATGTATGAGCTGTTTGGGGTAATTCATGGAAGGAGAGCTGGATCTTGGTGCGCATTGTTTGCGCAGCAAAATAACAGGATTCTATATTTCGTTTCTCGTGTAACATTTCATCAGCTATTTTCCACGCAAATACCTACGAAAGCACGTACACATGAGAAAAATGTCAAAAATAATAAATTCTCTATAATAAAGTTCAAAGTATGACGGATAACTTGTTCTGCAAAGACAAAGTATGTCGCATACTACAATTACGAATCGTACAGTTGACAAAATGACACGCCTGTTAAATCTAATGCGTAAAAAAACGTAAGTAAAAAAAAATGCAATGTTACTGATTTCATGTCTGATGTCAAATATGATTATTTTACAACGTGATATGTAAAAAATATATCCTCGTGACAGTGTGATAACCCTTCCCTTTAAGGTTAGAAAGCGGCTTTTCATATCTTCGATTCACGACGCCGTTGACCCTGGTGCGTCGAGAAACAGGCGTCGTAATTGACGTGACAATGCGAACGAATTAAATTGAGGCACGGGGAGGAAAATTTTAATATTTAACGACATTTTAAAAATATTGTGCGCTCACCGATCTCTGTAATTCTCCCAGCCATAATGACGCTTTTCCTGGTTCGGCCGGATTTGTATTGTTATATAAAGAGAACACGGCCTGGTAGACGGTCTCCAGGTTCGGCGGCGAGTCCATGTTTCAGAGGATAATCGGATGCCGCGTAATCCCCATGCAGTCAAATCCCGGCTGACAAACAGATGCGCTCGCGCGAGGCCGAAACGGAGCCGAGCGTTTCTTCCAGTTTCTTCTCCGTTCCGAGGACTTAACCTCCAACGAGCAACGGACGGTGTCAGGTGGTGCACCGCGAAACCATCGTAAGTAATTTAGATTCTATTTGGCTGTCGTACCTCGTATATTAGAAATGCATGAATTATGTGCGTAGAATGCAAATTATGAAATACGCGTACGTACAAGAAGTAGGAAAGAGAGGATTTTTAAAAAAAAGTGCACCGAAAGTGCAGCCGGAGAGAATAGGTGATAGGTCTGTTCGTGTTGCTTGCACTTTTTGCGTTTAATTGTTAACATTTTTTTTTTGCATTTAATTGTAAAACTTATCTCTGACTTTTCCTCTTTTTAATTCTCGATTACATATTTTTTCTCTTTCAAATGCAAAAATTTGAGAGAATTTCAAGCAACACACGAATAAATTCACATTTACAATAATATATTAAACCTGGTATCATATCGCGATGTATCGAAGATTGAGAATTAAAGGTATCTTTAGAGATATTTTTAATTAAAGCAGAGAAAAGCATCTATCTGATTAAAGATATTTTTTAGGCTGGCTGCACACCAGCGCGATGTTCATCGCACGCGACACGCGATATCCAATAAACGCGCAGCTTTAGATTAAAAACAACGGTAAAGCTAAATGCTCATTGGATATCGCGTCGCGTGCGCGACGGATTCGACCGCGAGCCATAGTCCTGAGGTGGACGTCTGTGGCCGAGTGATTCTGGAATCTTCTAAAATCTTCGCGGCATAGTATATATCTCACTACGACTTAGATTTTAGAATCTCATCGTGCCGTTTGGAAATTGGGCCGTATATACCCGCCTGGGTGTTATAGGTCCCACAAAGAATTAAAAGAAGTCGCGTGCGACGAAATCGCGCTGGTGTGCAACCAGCTTTAGAGATTAGAATTAAGTATTTTTTCATGTTAATATTCAACGCTCATCAATTTTTAGCGTCAAAACATCACATGATCAAAATTGATAAATATCAGCGTCAATTTTGATTATGTGATCTGTCTTGACGCTAAAAATGAGCGTCGAGTATGGAAAGGTACTTTAAAATTTAATGGGAGGATCCTGTTAACTTGCATCCCGATAGCTCACATCAATCGATATCTAGAAATTTTCCTTACTAATAAAAAAAATCCTGTACTAAATTAGCCAATTAACGATGCGGACGATTGGATTGCCAGCTCTTTGAAGTTTTGTGCTTAAAACGAGATAAGTATATTCGGGAGTTGGAGAGGGAGGAGAACATTTCTGAGTGCAAAAAATACAATTAATTGTAAAATTGTAATACGAACAGACTTGTTGCTATGTGTTAAGTCCACTGATGATGCTAGGAAATCGATCTAAATATCGGACGGAAAAAATATATTGACCAAAATTATATACAGGGTGTCTCATAATAGGTGTATCACCGTTCATGGGTAGGTAGAACGGACTAAACTGAATCGAAAAGTCCTCTACCATTTTGCAAAATTCGCAATCGTTAACAA